CTCTCTCTCTCTCTCTCTCTCTCTCTCTCTCTCTCTCTCTCTCTCTCTCTCTCTCTCTCCGGAGACGCGCAGACACGCAGAAACTTTCGTGCACCCGCAGTTAAATTAGAAATTAATTTTCGTATGCCAGTCACGATAAATTATATCAGAGCGGCGTGAAGTGTGACGTCGTCTCATGGCCGCTTACCGGGGGAATTTTAACTCCGCGAACGCGTCGTTGTCTGAAAATTCAAGACGTATCCGCGCACGGTTATTCATCCTATAAAGAATGTTAGTGCGAGCGAGAACATCGCGCAATGACGGGGGGATTCCTCGCGAAAGCAATTCTCCGCGTGATAGCAGGTAGAAAAACTCGAGTATGTGGAGAACAGGATAAAAGCGTTGTGAATCTTCGCGAAATTAGGCTCCGAAGGACAGGCAACGCGATTTCAAGATCAGAGCCGCTGCACGTGAACGCAAACGTTCTCCCTATCGCGCTCGTAAAATCTCCCCAGCCGGCAGATAACGTCGAGCTCGTAAATAGTCGAATTACCTTTCATAGGTACCTTCGCGTTTTCCTCTCGATAGCTACTGATCAGCTTAAAGACCTGCGACAAAGTGGTACGTTCTTTTTCGGCGAGAAGCTCGTCGGGGGATAAGAGAAAAAATTTAAGTACTATATTCTCTTATAATATCTTTTATTCTTACATTGTTTTCTTTTTATTTATTATTCAAATAAAGATTGATAATATTCGATGATGACCCTCAAGGTGCAACCATTTCGCGACCCGCACGAGCACGAAACGCACGATTGCGCGTCCACTTATTCCGATTAGACTTTTTAATGTAAGCGCATTGTCTCAAATTCCCACGCGAGACAAACGGGAGCAGTAATCGCGCGGACACGTGACATTTCGCACGAATGATATAGTGGCGCATACTGCTCGTCCACGAAATCGTCTCGACGTCTGTCACAACGTTGCCAAAACACTGAAAGAAATGACCGCCGCGAGCGAGCGGGCGGAAAGAGCGGGATTTTTCGCGACGTGTATCGCGAAGTGAGGCTCCCGTCTCGTCACCGTAGCTATGGCGTCTCAATTTCGCGAGTCCGCGAAACAAAAGTAACACTCGCAAGTGGCGCGGAATACTAAATAGAAGATGCCGCGCGGGCCCTCGACGAGAGGTAATTCACTGAGGAAGTGAAGGAGCCGAGCACAAACGCGCCGCGCTAATGTAGATCCTTGTGCCGCTTTTTCTACTGAACGCGAAGCACAAGCTCGTCTTGTCGTCGTTGTGAATACAATGCCGGATAACTAGATCACCGGACCGGTACTTTAGTTGTGTAACAATATTTCATAATTATTAAAATACGCTCTTCCGCGAGCTCCAGCAATATCGTGATAAATTTCATTCTTCCTTTTTTTTTTATTTCTCCTCTTCACGTTACGTTATTTGGCGAATATATCTAAGTAACGAGAGCGGCGAGTTCCCGTAACGAAATTGACGGCATGGTAGTCTATTTTTTACCCCGAAGCTTCACGTAACTCTCCGACGGTGTGTCGGCCGATATTCCGTTCGGCGAGTATCATACGTTCGCGGCTGACGGACGATACCGTCTTGGTCTTTTCTCTTTCTTTTTTTCTTTTTTCTTTTTTCCGGAGAAATTTGTCTTTCACGGGTCAATAGTCAGCACGGTGGCGTGCACGATGAGAGGCAGGAACGAAATCGGAAAACGCCCGCCGCACCCGACTACCGCGCGATTGTTGCACTTCGAAGGATTTATATTTCAGCCGCCAACTTGGCACGCCTACTACCCCAATAAAACGAACCACGTTCTTGGATGTGTGCTCGCGCACGTATATGTGCATGTGTACGGCTGGAAGTGTATTGCAATACATCTCCTTCAATTAGGGGTACCTCCGCCCCTTATTGCTCCGCTTACTCTTCCCAATCTTGCGTGCTACTTTCGGGCTCGCGCAGCCTGCTACAAGATTAGTAGAGACGGGCGTGCGACACACGTGTACGATTTCTTCCGAGCGTTGGAAGAATCCGTAATCGACTACGTTACCGTTCGACGTTACCGCGTGAAAAATTGACGAAAGAAACGGGCGAATTTCAGATTTAGTGGCTTCGATCTTCCTCTTCTCCCTCTCAGTTCCTCCGTCGCAATCGAATATTGCTCAGGCACGCGCAATTTATTCACGCGCTGCGACGCAAACTCGCCGCGTACATTTATTCCCGGCGTACGCTTGAAAACTAAAGTTGTCGCGCGTATTAATAGCGCGACGACGATACCGCAGAACTATGAATACTCTCAAGGTGTCCGGCGTGACAGACGATGAAGCTCGCGTCACTACAGACCAGTCTGACGACATACAGACGGAAGCATCCGGAAGTTGTCACACGTCGGAACAGAAAATTGATCGACCCCGATCGCGAAATTTGGTAGCGTTTTGTCGCGTCAATTCCATTCGCCCGGCTTTCACGAGATGCCTTTCGACGACCTTTCTTTATTCTTCGTATGCTTTATTCAAATTTGTATCGGACATTTTGCTTCTGAAAGCACGCAGCCGTCTCTTCCCTCCCGCACGACTCAGCATCTTTTCCGCTCGCGCGTTTCAAGGCGACTTATGTATGCAAGGGGGTTTGGAAATGAGTCGCCGAGACTCGAGGAAATGTAGGCCGTCTTTTTTTCTTATTTTTTTTTAGCAAAATACTGTGGGGAAATTACCTTCACTGCGAATTGCTTTATCTTCGGTATATTACATGGAGAGAATTGCTTTGGTTGCTATATCCTATAGTTGGCGAGAAAATTTATATCTTTTCGAGTTAAACAGAACGTGAGGCATTAAAAGTTGCTGTTGTTATACGCCCGTCTCTATACATTTCTCACGGCCACAATTCTTATAATACGCAATGCTTACTTAGTACATTCTCATATATAATCGTACAATAAAGCACAAAAGTATCGCTTCGTATTATTCCAACCATATTTAGACAAGTGATATCCTTAATGTTTTTTTCGTGTAACGATATCGTCTCTTCCACTGTCACGTAATCCCTTTCTGCTACCTCGAGTACGTCATATTTCTGACGGAAAAACTCTCGGATACAACGAAGGATAAAGGCCCGCATACGCAGTGAACGAAAACATAAAAAAAATATCGCTACACGAGAACATAAGCACGACGACATATGGGCATTTTTACGATCAGCGACCGTCGAGGAAGAGAAGTCCATAAACTGGAAGGTGAATTCGAAAAATTATCGTGCGCGCGTGTTACCCGTTTCGCCTTTTTACACGGACATTATGACACATTTGGGATTACGGTTCGCAACATCGATTAGATTGCAGCTCGCGTGTGTTCTATAGCCTTGCATGAACAACTAGCATCATCTTGTAACGTGCTAATATTTCATGGCACATAGCTCGCATTTTTCGGGAATCGTCCCGCTTCCTCGCGATATTTTTAGCCTGCTATCGAAATGCCCGCGACAGTCGCTTTCGATTAAACGTTCCTTCTCCTGGAAGAGTCGAGGAGTATCCATTACTTAATTACGTCTTCCGAAAGGGACATCGACGAGGACGCACGGTGGCTTTCGTATCGCCACTTTTACGAGACGGAAGGATCCGCAGCCGGGACGATTTTGGCAGCGGCAACGAGATTTAAGCGTCGCGCCCGTTAATTAATTCACTCGCAGTTAAATACCGCTGTCGACGTCGCAGTTCTTTATCATATTTCACGCCCACATCGGTACGAACCACCTGTGACATATTTGGCACTCTATCCGGTCCGTTTTTATTGCGAGAGGATTCTCGGTGGATTATACAGAGAGTCACGAACAATTCTCGAATCAACGCGGCTATTTTTCTGTCGTATTTTTCTCTTTCTTTCTCTTCATTTTTTTCCGGAGGAAATTTAATTTTATCGAGCTCTTTTCAGTATCGCGGAAGAATGCATCATACCTGGCGTGTGCATGATAGCTATCGATGTATTCAGTACAATATCGATACGTTGCTCCGAACAGCAAGGTCGGCAGGGAAAGCGATATATTTCTCAGTCCGACGTACCTTGCGTTTCCGTAAATGTCACGGCACAAGCAGGAGAGACATTTACAATCATCAGTGTCTGTGCAATGGGAATTTTATTAATGATTAATGAAAAACGAAAGAGAGCACGCGTATTTCAGCGAAACGAACCTTCCCTTTGCCGTTTTGTCTGTTATTTATGGTTAAAGCAACCTCGTGTCGACAATGTTCGTCGTATCGTTCCGCGCGATCAGATTCGTGATCGATCGCGGCTTTGTCATTTCGCCTCTGATTGATGCGAAAATGTCGGATCGGGAAAATATCACGACCGCTCGCTCGCGCTAATGCCGACGTGTTTTCAAGTTTCGCGTCGCGACCTTCGGGCGAATTCGCCGCGTCTGGTAACGCAATGCCGCGCTTTAATTACATTCTATTCTCGTCGTGTCGAGCTTTTACAGGGATCGCTCGCTCGCTCTCTGCGTCGCCCAAAAGCAGCCCGTGTCGAGTAGATTATTTATTCGTCGTTTAATTGCCGAAATTATACCGCGATCCGAAGATCAATCAGTGTTTTACTTTGGTCTGCGGCTAATTAGTGATTTACAACGAAGGGGAATCATCCCCGACGCGCCCTATGAATATTTTAACTGCACCAACGTTTCACGTGCAACGAAGCGCCGAGTAAACGCGCCGTCGCCATCCTGACACGCTGCGGATTTGAATCGTAATCGGACACGACGCAACCCGGCTGTTGGCGATAATGCAAACACAT